GCAGAGGAGGGGACCCGCGCCTCTGACTTAATGCTGGAACTATCCACGTCACGTGCGGCCCCGCGCGGGTTAACCCCTCGGAGCCCGGGAACCCCCTAATTCACCCCAAGCCGGGTGTCCCAGGCCTTCGAGGAGAGGAGGAAGGGTGCGGTCTTTTGAGGGCAGGATCCCTCCAGTCTACCCAGCTGCGTCCAGTCCTACCTTACAGCCGCACCCTTGACTGGTCCTGTGAACCAGTCTCCCGGCTTTTACCTTTTCAAGGGGAAGGCAGTGTAGTGGCATACCCCAACCGCGAGAAACACTTTTAGTCCTGGTCCCCCAACGTCAGCCCTGGGAAGAAATGGGGGCAGTAGTTGGTCTGCCCTTTTTCCTAGCTTTTTTTGCTGAGGACTGGAAAAAAAGGTCATATAACAAGCACATCTCCATTAGAAACCTCTTTGTTTTGCCCAGGGATAAGAGTCATTAGGCACATGGCATAGAAACAACTCTAAACTGTGAGTGGGGACTGGGGACTTTGGACCTGGACATTATCATTATTTAGCTGTGGGGCCTTGAACTAGTCACTTAGTGTCATCTTCTGATTGTGGAGGTGAGTGGCATCAACTTCAGGGTTTACTACACATTGGTGGTGGCAGCTTTCAAGGCAGAGGCAGGCCAGAGTAGACAGGGAGACTCTCAGGTGAGGTTCAGGATTGAACAGGGCTTGGCACAAGCAGGTGGAGGAGCCTTAGCCATGAGTAGCAGACAAGGTGTGAATGCTTTCAGAATGTCCAGGTCCTGTCCTCACCTCAAACTCCAGGGTTCGGCTGCCGCAGGCCTGCCATGGATGGTGGTGAGGATCGGCTTGCATGATTTGAGTCTCCCCAACTAAAAAGAAGCACAGGATTAGAGCAGTAATTTAGCAATTCTGAAAAGAGAAACAACCCCTACCTACCTAAAATTTAGGAAAAACTTGGGCTCACATCTTCTGGATTGGAAAGCCCTTGGGTCTGGATTAAACTATTTATATTTTCAATGCCCCAGAGATTAGCAAGAGGGATGGGGAGTCACACACCATTTGTATTTCATTTGAATTCTCAATTTTTAAAGGAATCCGAGAGGCCTGGTGTGAACACCTCCCTCTTCCGTTGGAGGCTTAGAGGGGGTTTCTTGGCTGTCCTCAGCCAGAGTTGGGCTGTAAATCAAGGCCAAACAGGAACCAGAAGCCTTGCATCTCACAAGAAGTCATTAAGCCATTATTAAACATACCTTAACTTTTCTGAAGACTTACTGGTTTAAATACCACATTGGAGGCATTATGGCCATTAGAGCCTCTAATCACAAACTGCAGATTGGGCAGAGAGATGGGAGCACCTGGGACTGCTATTTCTAGCCTAAAGGGAGTCTCAGCTCTGGATCTATTTTCCAGAGTCCAGTTGATCTCAGCTCTGGCAATGAACTTGAGTTGATCATTAATAATGTTTGTCAGTAATTGTTGATTGGATATTGTTTCCAGGAGGTTGTTCACTCAACAGAATTACTAAGCAGTTTATTTTGGAGGAAGCATGCGTGACACAGGAAAAATGTCACCAACAAGTTAAGCAAGGCAGCCTAGTGCTGAGTCTTTTGCTTCAGGTGATAACCTTTTTCAGGCTCAGTTTCATTGTTGTAAAAATGGGCAACACATATGCACGTGGGGTATTTGAGAAGCACTTGTGTTTTGATGTACTATGTTAATCTAAGAGATGATGATAGCGATGTGACAATGATGCCTTCTCCAGAAATGAGAGTTTAAATTCCTGGGTTCCATCGCTGAATTGACAGAAGGCTTCTGACTCCACACCGAAAGGTTCTGTGCCTTGAGCTGAGCACAGAGATCTGTGCCTCTGCTATTCTAGGGACCCACACCTCTTCCCAAGCCCCAAAGTTCCTTCTCATACAGTCTCTCACTCTCTTACCATACTGGGATGATGCTACCAATTGAAGGCAGGAAGGCCAGATTACTTTTGGGGCCTGCAGGAATATGGAGTTGTCCCTCCTGGGTTTTCTCTCCAGACCAGGCCAGACAGGACACTGAGAAGATCCTGTCCTGCTCTTCTTTTTCAGCCAGTGGAGCAAAATTGTATCATTATCCCTACCTGGTTTAGGAGGAGTTTGGTGGAACAGGTGCATAGAAAACATAATAACAGAACCTCTGAGTCGGTACTAATATTCCTGGTTTGGCAGATGCTGAGATGATGGGGTAGAACAGACACCCTGATTTTACAAATAAGTGCACAGTACTTACATAGTACTTACAGTGCGCCAGGCATTGTCACGTATATTCTACATACAACAATTTATTTAATCTTCACAACAACCTCACAAAGTAAGCACAATTCTTAGCCTTGTTCTGCAGAGAAAGATCCTGAAGCTATAGAGGGAGCCATTTGCTCGGTGTAGATACAGCCAGTTGTTGGCAGAACCAGAACGTACACTCCCATCCACAGGCCCCCACCTAACTCTCGTAGACCTTCTTTAGCTAGCACACAGCTAAGTTAAAACCATTCAGTGTTCACTGTCATGTTCCTAACAGAAAGGTTGTGACTTCTTCCCAAAAGGGAAGTTGAGGCCAGAGTGGACTGGGGACAGAGCTGGTCTGAGGTGAGCTGCACTGCTTCCTTCGTGAGCATCAAGTGCCAGCCAGCTGTAGTTGGCAGGGAAAATAGGGAAAAGGCAGTTTCTGCTAAGCTGAGACTAACAAAACAGAGTGTCTAACACCCGAGTAGTTTTACAACCAAGTCAGATGTGGGGCTAAGTTTTAAGGGAATCTGTGAGCTCACCATTCATGGCATTTAATGACTTTTGAAATACAATAGCGTTTGTCATTGATACCATTTTCACAGAATAAAATGAGCTGATAGATGATCCAAACAATTCTAGGTCATATAATAAGAAAAACTTGAAAAGCCCTCTCTCTCATCATCTGCTGAGGAAAAAAACTGTTTTAAAAATGGAAACATACTTATTGGCTGTCTGTTACACTGGCTGACTGTTTAATCCAGTCATTTAGTTAGGAGGTCCCATTGGTGACAGATATTTGCTGGCACCAGGATATGGCAACTAGCAAGACAGTTGTGATCCCTGCCTGCCTGGTGCTTACACTTTGTTGTCATAAAAATGTCTCATTCATACTGAAACAAACCATTGATTGGATGTGAACCACAATGGAATATGGTCTTCAGAACAGAGTCTGGCTCTTGGCTCAAGTGTAAGGTCAATTCTTTAATTAGAGAAACATCGGTTTCAGTTACCTCTTTCCCTTTCATTTTCTACTTTCCTTGGCCTACACTACATGAAGGACAAAGCTTTCCTTCTTCTCCCAGTGGATATTCAGAAGGGGCTGGGACAATGGGAAAAATGTAACTTCAGCTCTGAGATTTGCTTGACATTTACAAAACTTCCTTCCAGACAGGAAAAACTCAGTTGCTTTTTTTTTTTTTTTTTCCTCTGAAGGGAAGACAGTCAACATTACCCTCGTCCTGTTTAGAAGCTGAAATCCTAAATTGATTCCTATGAAAATTCTGGGTTTGGGAGCCCAAGTAGATTGTTTCTCATTAGTGACATTCTTCCTGGAAGGTCAGGCTAGGAATGGTAAATAAACCTTCAGATCCGGTGTTTCTTCCTCACCCATGGTATTTTAAAAAAATATTTGTGCTGTGGATACTCAGGATCCTTGATTGAGATTCTAATGATTCAAGCTGAATTCTGTGCATGGGGGAAAATTTCTGGGAAGTTAGGGGACCATTTTTCCATTTGATTTGTTTTACTGGGAAAGCCATTTAATCTCTCTGTACCTTAGTTTCTCCACTGGAACACTGACAGGAATGATTCTGTAAGTCTAGCTTTATTGGACTGAATCAGTTCGTGTTTATACAGATGTTCCTTGAGGCCAAATCCATGCCCGGAACTATATTGTCCTGCTTGTTTCCTCTGCCCTCCTCTCTGTGGTTGGGATGAGGTGCACTAGAAGAGCAAAGAGTTGGAGCTGGGTCTGTGATGTGGCAGTGTGCAGAGGGCCTGAGATTTGTCTGCTGCCTGAATCGATTGCCTTTGTGTGAAGGTAAGCGGATTCAGAGGCAAGTGTCTGTATGGACAATGGTGTCATTTTGTGGAGGAGGTTGTTTTGGTTTTTTTCCTTCCAGTTTTGGAGATTGAACTCAGGGTCTCGTGTGTTAGGCAAGCACTCTACCACTGAGCTATATCCTCAGCCTCTGTGGAAGAACTTTTGATGAACTTATGCTTGCTTGGTGCAAAACATAAAAGGGCAGATTTAGATTTCTGGACAGTTTTGCTCTTCAGTTAATTGATTTTATGTATTCCATAAGCTTATGTTGAATGTTTTCCTTGTGCCACAGTGGAATCCCACAGAGGATGGAGCCAGAGAGGGTGCCACTTATTGTCAGGGCTTTTCTAGACTAGTTGGAGAGAGGAAGCAATGGGCATTTACATCAAGAGTGTGATTTTACTGAGATGGGAGAGCACAGGGATCCATGAAGGCCATGAGAAAGATGTTTCCCAGCCACAGAGAGAGCTGGGTGTTCCAAAGTGGAATCCTGAAAGTTGGGGGAAAGGGTTCCAGGTGAAGGTGTTTGGAGGAGGCAGGGAGAGAGCATTCTAGAAAGAATGGACCACAAGTAAGAGAGAAGCAGCCAAATTAGGGGAACTCAGATACATTAAATATTGCAGAGCCTAGGAAGGAAGAGACTTTAGGCTGGGGTGGGAGGAACAGAGACAGAGATAGAGGAGTCTATAGGAATCTAGAAATGCTCCAAAGAAGAGGAAGATGCTCCACAGGCATTGATCCAGTCCCTGGTGTCTGCTGGACACGGCTTTCAACATTGTGTTCACTAGAGGGAGAAAGGCAGAAGGAGCCCCAGGCCCTGGGAAGTGCCCCGACTCTGATGGGAGGGGTCAGGACCCCCACACAATGGGCAATAAGACAAGACAAAAGGGACGACAAAAGCAAGAACAGAAAGCACAGTGGTTTGTTGGGAACCATGAAGTACAGCGTTAAGAGAAGTAACAGTGTGTGTGTGTGTGTGTGTGTGTGTGTGTGTGTGTGTGTGTGTGTGTGTGTGTGTGTTTTAGTGTGTGTGTGTGTGTGTGTGTGTGTGTGTGTGTGTGTGTGTGTGTGTGTGTGTGTGTTTCAGGCTGGTCAGGGCAGTCTCTGAAGCCTTTTGTAGCAGTGTTTTGGCTCTTACAGAGAGTGCTGGCCAGGGTACCCCTTGAACTCATTTCAGCAGGAAATCCATTGGTTCCAGAGTGCAGATTCCAGATTTGTTACTTTACAGGACTAATAAGTATGTAATTATCACATTTGAGGCCCTTGGAAGGGAATGCAAACATAAGCCACTGAACATCCTGAGAAATATAATTGAACTTAGTCCAGAGCTCTGGATGGAGCTTGTCACCATGTCACAGATATATCCACACCAGGCCATGGTCTTCTCTGAATGGAGGAAGACAGGGGAGATTAGCCCTAACTTTCTAAGGAACTGGGGAAGAAAGTGGGGCACAGCCTACTCTGCCTAGCCCACTCTGGAATCTCAGGGAAGGAGAGGCAATAGATGGGTAATACTAAAAGCATCCATTATCTATGTGCCCAGCAAACACCATCTTGTTTAATCATTACAGTGTTATACAGTTAGTGCTAATGTTTCCATCTTACAATGGATTGTGTATTAGTTATCCAATGCTACATAACAAACCACCCAGAAACTCAGTGACTTAAAACAATAGTTATTGTGAGTCAGGAGTGGTTCTGGTTTGGGATCTGTCAGGACCTCAACTCAAGTATTAGTTGGGGATATGGTGTTCTGAAGGCTTGACTGGACCTAGGGATTTGC